GCTCCTCCTATCTAGGTGCCAAATTCCCATCAAGACTGAGCCATTACAGAGAAGGAATTAAGCTCTGGTAAATATAAGACTTGGGAGAGGCATGCCCAATGGACAACTATGAAAATGGATTTGTTTGTTTTTTAAAGCTCCAAGTCCAGGATTAGGGTTATACATTTCTCTTTTAGCTGTTTTTTCTCTAAGGTCTATTAAAATTTGTAAACTGTTAATTTTGTACTACAGCAAATTAAGAATAACATTTGTTCATGATTTAGCTGCCAGGAAATTGATTTTGCTTTTTGTGGCCTGCCTGACAAACAAAAGGCACACACAAACTTGCATGACCCAGGTTTTCAAAAGCAGTTGGCAATGTGGGCAACTGTGTTTCCCCACCCTGAGACTCCTGCAGTGAACTTCCTTCCCTGAAACTGGGCCTTCCTCAAGATACCTCCAATCAAGCAAACAAAAGGCATTCCCCATGTCACTAGTCAATTTTAACGCAAGCCACCTTAACCAACAAAAATTAAGAACGTGGTCCCAGTAATTGCCATTGTGCCTCAATTGCCATGGGCACCTGCAGAACTTTTTCTGAAGGAGAAAAACTCCTGCTGGGCAGTCTCCTGGATGACTTTGTTACAGAGAAAATAAAAGAAAGTCAGTCCTTTTGAAGTGGTAGCAATCAGTACACGAGCTGAGGCAGATTTTTTTTTTCCTGAAAGAAATGCAAAGGGAAGAGAAAAGCCCACAAAGCATGGCATCTGTTTCTTTTGAGGGGGAGCAGAGTGGGAGGAGGAAGCTAAACTCCATCCCTCAGTACAGCACTGTGCTCACAGCCCCCTAACTGGCTTGGCCAGGGACACAGCCTGTGCTGTGCTGTGCCCTGCCCTGGCAGTCCCTCAGTGGCAGACAGGTCCTGTGCTAGCCTGGTGCATCCACACTGGCTGCAGGTGGGAGCCCCAGGCACACTGGCCAGTGCCCTGCTGACAGGGCAAGTCAGAGGCCAAAGAGCTGCAGTGGGTCACCACGATCTGCAGCACAGCTTCCTTTCCATTCCCATTGCTATGGAAATTGTTTCTGGAGGCAACCCTAATTTTCTTTTCATCAATCAATTAGGGGCAGACTTTGCACTGGGCTGTTTGTTTTCCCAGCACTGCTCCATTTGATATTATTTTCTCCATGACAAATTAACCACAGCTGGACCTGTCTGAAATTGCTAAGAATTCTCTTATATAAAATGAAGGAAAAAAGGGAGAAAAAGACAGAATAAGCATGAGAAGCAGGAATAAATTGATATTTCATAGGGGAAGGAGTGGGAATAGCAGGGACCTGACAGCTGCCAAGGGAAGAGGATGTCCTCTGATTGCCTGTCTGGTCAGGTCCCACCATCTCCCAGGGTCAGGCAGGCTAACAGTGTGGTGCAAAATCCATAGCTCCTGGGTGTATTAGTGGTGACACTTCTGGTTATGCTGAGCTATGTAACCAGCCAGAAGCTTTCTGGAAAAGTCCAGTTGTGAGGTGGTCCCTTATCCCTTTACCACAGACTCAGTCAAGCTAAGATTCCCATGTTCTACATAAGGACATGTCCTCTCAGGGAATAAGAAAAGGGCCTGGGTGGGGGTGGGGAAGTTCTTTATTTTTTTGCTACTATAAAAGTCTGGTACAAGGAGCTTTGAAATTCTCACATCATGTGCTCCCTTAGTTCAAACAAACTTGTTTCACGTTTTTGCTCTGCCTTCCCCCATCTTCTACGCTTCCTTGCTGCAACAGTCTCCCATAACACATTAACAGATTAAAAATAACCTTCTGCCACCCTTCATCTACTTTGGCCAATTTAAAACTAGACAAACTACCCCAGGCACTGTGGAGCAGAGGAAGCAGTGTGTGCACATGTGTGTGCATATGGGCTCTGACCTAAAGGGAACAACTTTAAGAGCAAGAGGCAAGAGGTTATTTTTATTTCCAAGATGTCTGATTTTGCACCCTCCGTTTTCTGCTTTTTTTTTGGTTTTTTTTTCTTCTTCTAAGACAATCAGTCAAAGGTCTAGAAAAGCAGTAATTACAGTTATTGTGTGACAGGAACAATGATTCATGAACAACCGGATGCAAAAAGACCCCATCAATGCATTCATCTTTGCTGAAGTGATCAGGTCCTAATGATTAGAGCCGAGTGAGCAGAGGAGAGAGAGACGCATATTGAAAGGCAGAGCTGTGTTTTGAGTTGGCCAAGGGTGCAGATATTTCTCAAAGAGTTGTGTGAAAATGGCTATTAGCTGCCATCCTGCATACCCCGCCTCCATATGAAGTATTTTGAGGGGACCTTTGGTTCAGAAATGTCAGCAGGGGAGTGAGCACCACGTGCAGAAGCAGCTACAGTCCTAAAGCAAGTGCACCCTGTGCACTGCCTGCATGTGCTTGCAAGGAAAGATGTAAGGAATCCAAGGAATCCAGGAGCTTGCAACAGCATCTTAATATCATGGGTGCTCTTGCAAAATTATAGTAACTGCAATGCCTTTATGAGCGGGATGAGGTTGGACAGGAGCAAAAAAACCTGAGAGTTATGGGGGAAAGAGATGCTGTGATCTGTGTCCTCAGACCACCCAGCAGCTGAATGGTCTGGCTGTGCAGAGGGCAGCGTGGGAAACTGTACAAGAACTACCCCAGGACCTTGCCGATACACAACACCCACCTGTAGGAAGGGATAGCTGGGCCATGTAGATGGGCAATTGCCATCCCAGCTGAGGGTCACCACTAATTGTCTCCTGTGATAGAGAACAGTATTCTCTTCCACATGTCTCTTCTTCAACATCTCCATAAATTTGGACATGGGACTTGAAGGCATAACAAGTATGTTTGCTGATGAAAGTAAATTGGGAGAAGCTGTTGAGTACCTCAGAGGCAGAGAGACCCTGCAGAGAGACCTCAGCAAATCAGAGGGCTGGGTAGTTCCTAACTGTATGAAGTATAACAAAAGCAAGTGCTAGATTCTGCACCTGGGATGGAGCAACCCTGCCTGTAAGGACACACAGCAGAAGGAGATGCTGGGAAGCAGCGCCATGGAAAGGGACCTGGGGGTCCCTGGTCAGTGGCAAGCTGACCATGAGTCAGCAGTGCCCTGGCAGCCAGGAGGGCCAACCCTGTCCTAGAGGGGGCATCAGGCACAGCATGGCCAGCTGGGCAAGGGAGGGGACTGTCCTGCTCTGCTTTGAGCTGGGGCAGCCTCACCTCCAGTGCTGGGGGCAGTTTTGGGTGCCACAATATAAGAAATACATTAAACTAGTAGCATCCAAAGGAGGACGACAAAGATGGTGAAGGGCCTTGAGGGGAAGTTGAATGATAAGCAGCTGAGGTCACTTGGTCTGGAGGAGGTCACTCTCAGCCTGGAGGAGACTGAAAGGAGACCTCATTGCAAATGCAACTTCCTTGTGAGGGGAAGAGGAGGGGCAGGCCCTGATCTCTTCTTTGTGGTGATCAGTGACAGGACCCGAGGGAATGGCCTGAAGTTGTGTCAAGGGAGGTTTAGGTTGGATATCAGGGAAAGGCTTTTCACTCAGGGTGGTTGGGCACTGGAACAGGCTCCCCAGGGAAGTGGCCACAGCACCAATGTTGACAGAGTTCAAGAAATGTTTGTTTGCTCTCAGGCACGTGGTGTGACTCTTGGGGTGTCCTGTGCAAGGTCAGGAGTTGGACTTCAATGATCCTTGTCCAATTAAGGATCCTTTTCAATTAGTGATATTCTATGATTCACACAAAATGTTTTGTGTAGCAACTTAAGATATACAAATCCTTTAGCAAGGATTTGGAACAGATTTTGCTAAAGTATTTAGTAATTTGCTTCAAAGATCATTTGTGATGGTTATTAAGTGGTGTTAACCAGGTTTTATAACCAATCTATAAATTGGGCTGGATCACAAAATATAGAAACTTCTGGGTAACCAGGGCTGACACAAAATCTGTTTCCCCATTGTGTTCCCTTGAGAACATGCAAAAATCAATAGCTCAGAAAGCTCTTCAATGCCTCTGTCCCCACATGAACTCTGTTTTTTCCCAGCTGCTACTCATTTACCTACCAAGGCAAACAGATGCTTCTTGAGGTTTGCTGCCAATATTGTGTCATCAAAGGTGAACTGGTGTCAAGACATAGCAGAGTATGTGCTGAGAGACTGAGCTTGTTCAGAAGCCATGGTTTGCTTCCCCCAAGCTTCACACACATCTGTACTCGTTCACAAATGCACACATAGCTAAAAGAGCACCTGCTACTGGGAGAACCATCTCTGCAAACTGGTGCATCCTGTCTGCTTCCCTCAGTCCACAACTTCAGCCTCCCTCCCTCTGTGAGGTGCATCGAATTTCAGGGAAGACCAAAAATGCTATTAATTTGGACCTATCCAAGAACTGAACCTCATCACAAAAGCATCTCTGCTCAACCTGTAAAGTGAGAAGGCTTTGGAGGATTGTTTTCTCCTCTGACTTTGTATAGAGCTGTTCATTGCAGGGGGAAAAATACAATATCTTGTTACACAAGTCCTGCAGCACTCATCTCTCTCGTATTGCTGCATGGCTGCATCTCTGGCATAAATCAAGGACTCTAAGGTCCTGGTGACCTAATGTCTGTCTTGTTAGCTGCATAAAGCTTTTAATGATATATTTAGGATTGTTATTATTTTTGTTCCTTTCATCTGAATTTGAAAATGTTTCCTGGCAATAGAGTATTGAATAAAATATTTGAGACTGATGGGCTTGGTTGCTTTTGTGGGGGGAAGTAAGGACATTTCAGCTCTGACAATTGTTCTTCAGATCTCCTAGTTAGTTAGTTAGCTGGGAATTTTCTTTCAGATTTAAATACTCTTCAGGACGAAATTAAAATTATACTTTTCAAATTTAGTGCACATTAGGACTTGTAAATTCTCCACTGGTACACTAGCTGGGGAAAGATGCTCATTAATATCTATTGTTTTCTTACTAGCAATAATTCTTAAGGTCTGTTATACAAATACTTCGTGCAAAATACTTACTGGCAATTTCCTCAGAGCACAAAGGATTATTAGGGTGATGAGAGAAAACAGTTACAGCCTTGCCTTGCCTTTTTTTGGTTTGCTCTGCCAAATCACTAGTAAAAAAAACAAAACACAGCATCAAGACAGTAGCAGTCATCTCCCATTCCCCCACTCTGCAGCCCTGAACCAATAACTCCCATCTTTCCTGTGTGTAGGGACCAATTATTCCATGCTATTATAAATTCTTTCAAAATTAGGCCTTTTCCTTTGTGCATGAAAATTTTGGCACAATATTTCTCAGCTTTCAGCGTTACTGAGCAACAACTGTAGCTCCCAGAAACACCGTTTTGGACTGCACTGCTTGTGGGGTGAAGAAGGTGGGGAAGGACTTTCCTACCTGGATAGCCTGGATGGGAGGTGAGTGCTCTGGGTGGGACAATGCAAGTGACATGCCCACCACCCCACAGCTTTCTTCAGCTTGACTGGAGTCAGAGGAAACTTCTCGTGTCTGTGCCCACACAGGGCACACTGCAGTCCTGGGGATCACTTCTCCTGGATAAACCGGAGGTTTCCTCCTGGCAGACACAGTCATGCTCTCTAGCAAACAGCCTCGATTCAGGAAACTTTTTCTGCTGGTTGGATATCAGCTGATTGGTACAGGACTCCTGGGGAACTGGAGAGTCGGATGATGAAATGCCTAACCCTTAGCTGCTCACAGTCTCATGCTGCTTCCTCTCTGCCATAATGCTCCCACACTGACATCCATTTACTTATCCAACCACGGGATAACTTTTTGTCTGTTGTTTTCCTAAGCTGTTGTGGGATTTGTTTCCAGTAGGCGTATTTCTTGATTAATGATCTTTCTGTTAACACTTGCTCATATTCCATATGGGATCTTCTTGGGTTATATAAATGCACAAAATACTTAAAACAATATTTTTTTTTCCTCAGCTCATCTCTGTTTTTAATAACACAATTTATTTCTCCCACCTCCAAAGAAAAAAAAGAGCATTCTTTAGGTTGCTCAAACACATGCTGAATGTTATTTGTGATTCATGTTATCACCTCGTGCAGTATTCTTAGAAAACAGAGCATGGACAGGCTCTGTCAAGAAGGGTTTTGTAATATATTTGTAATTTATTTTCTGTATAGATTAAGGGCTAAATATTTTGACTGTAGATGAGTTTGTAGACCCCATCTCTTTGAAATCACGGCAGCTACTCAAAAGAGAGAAGCTGCTTTTCTTTCAACCAATGATAGAAGCACTTTCCTGGATACAAGTCAAAAAATATTTACATCAGTTTAAATGAGCAATGTTAACTATAAATAAAGAACACAGGTAATGAAGTGTTATCATTGAAGTTGAAATTAAAATTGAATCCTGCCAAAACCGAAACCCAGATCATGACAGAAAAATCCAATACTGTTTGGTTTGGGTTTTTTTGTTTGGATCTGCTATAATTATAGACTAGGTAAAGGAAAAAAGATTATACAGATTATACATTATTTGTAGCGATTTCAGTAGCATTTCTGATGCAATGCCATGAGAAGAATGATTACCTGTTCATGGCATCTTTACATGCATCTACAGCCCTCAGCAAGGTGCCATGTGCAGCACTTGCCTCTTAACCTGAGCGAAGTCTCAGACGGGTTGTGTGGCCATGGGCTGTGTGACCACAGCCCGTATGACCATGGGCCTGTTCCAAAGAGGATGCACTGGTGTCTTCTGGGTGACTCCTGCTAGGGTTGTCCCTGATCCTGGATCCCTGCAGCTTGATGCCTCTGCCCAGGGGAGCCCCATATGTAATATAAATTAAGAAACCCTAGGGCAGAAGGATGTGTTCACTATCCTGAATTCCAAGACATTAATCTCAGAGTAAGTTACTTTATTGTCAGGGCTTGGTTTGAGTGCTGTGCTCTCCACTGTCAGAGCAGGACAAGATTTGCATCCATTCGAAACACAGAACATTGTGGAAAAGTGTAGGTGGGCTCAGAAAGGCCCTCAGAGATGTTCACACCAAAATGGAAAGCATTCCCTTTTAGTTACCAAGGGTGAGCTCTCTTGTTGCCTTTCTCAAAAGCAAGGCTCCAGGCAACTTCTTGTACTTCAACAGTCGAAAATAAAGCCTCAAAAAAGAACATGTCAGGGAATTAAATGAGAACCACAAATTTAGCAGGGCTACTGATTGCCCAGGAGAATACTGAGGTGAAATGTATAGAAAAGAGGGGTTTTGAGACAGAGTTAAGTGAATTACTGGTCCCATCCATAACATCTGTTACAGTCTTGGCTGCTGGGTATTTACTTTCAAAGAAATCAGCTTCCACTGCTGTCTGCTGAGGAGCCCTAAATCAGGTGTGCAGGCACAATTACTGAAAATGAATCTGTCAGAGCAAATCTCAGGTAATCAAGAAACCCTGATTGGGTGCCCCTCCTATACCCTTCTTTGCTTTAGGGGTAACCTAAACCAGTGTTCCTCAAACCTGATGGGAATAAGCAACATGGGTACAAGGTAGACTTACTAAGAAGGCTGAAACTTTAAAACATTGGCCACAAGCTGGTAATGGCATCTAGGAGTCAGCCAGGGCATGTCAAATGGTGCTGTCTTTGTACTGCCATTAAAAGAATCAGGGTTGTTTTAGTGCCAAACAGCAGACATAACCTGATGCCATGTTCAGAACTACCAGCAGCCCCTCATGGACAACCCATGCCCAGAACTTCTTACATTGTCACACAATAGCAGGTACTTGTTCTGGCAGGGGTTCAGGGCACAGTGCACGAGAGCTAATTTGTAAAGTGCATATTCCTGAGGAATGGGCATCAGACTCTCATTTCCTCCTTTGAGCTGAGTCCATTGACTTAGGTCTCTGAGATAAAATGTCTTTTTCATTAACTAGACCTCTGTTTAGCTGTGCCTTTCTTATTATAGATGGGATTCCTTCCAGCTTGTCCTTTCTTCTTGGTCTATACAAGTTTGTGTAGGAAGTTGCTCATGAATATATAAAAGGCTACGGACAATGTCAAGAAATGCGTATTTAAACATTTCTGGTCTTCAGATATATTTTGTGTAGTTTTGTTTTTTGGTTATGGTGATCTTGTTTGTTTGTTTGAACAAAACTTTGCTCAAGTGACTGGTGTTGACTGAAGTTTGCAGCATGTTCTTGCTTCAGTCCCTGCTTTGCACAGCAAAGACACATGGAAGCCCATTGAGCCATGGTTCCTGATTAACTGCAGGCAAACTTTTCAGAGCTCTCCTGAAAGGGCACAAACTCTTATTCACAGCAACGATTTCTGTACTGTCCTTTCTGTGAAACAGGCAGGAAAAGAAAAGCAGGTATTGCCTTCTCACAGCCCCTGTCAGAATTACTCAGAACACCTTTGCTCCCAAATGGATGCATTTGGGATGCATCAAATGAAATGCATTTGGGATGACTCAAATGAAAATGTTAACATAAAAGCTCGGGTCTGGCAAATATTTTCAATGTTTTTTTTACTAGCACTGAAAGCAATAAAATATGAAATGGATAGGTGCAAAGGGATAGCAAATCCCAATTGCAGAATTACCTGGCATGTTCTGAGTCATGGGAAGATGTTAACAAAATAAAATTTACTTAATACTGATGAATGTGACAGTACTGCAGCTGGAGAGAAATAACAATAATCAACACAAATATTTAGGAAACATTATTATAGGAAAATACCTTGGGGTTATAGTAGGTAATGAAAAGAGTTCACATTGTGAGGAAAGCAATCACTGTCCCAGGGGGTATAAAGAGAGATCTGCCATGTGACAAAAAGGGAGTTATAGGTGCAGAATTATGCAGTCTGGGTAAGACTGGAGCACAGCACATATTTTTAAGCCTTGCATTCTAGAAAGGAGAGTGAAAAGTGACAGAGGACCTGAGGATGGGCAACAGGAACAGTGAAGGGAACCACAGGAGGTTGCGGGGGCGGCGGGGGTGGCAGAAAGCAATTCTCAGGGCAGGAGGGAGCCCCAGCTAGCTCTGGGATGAATGCTTGCATTTGTATGCTGGCAGGATGGACCTTCCCTGCAGCAGAGATGGAAGAAGGGTATTGGATTAAAAGTGGAACAATCCCATTTAGATACAAGAGAAATGACTTCATAATAAGGGCTATTACACACGCAATAGAATAAGCTGACTGATGAGCAGCTGAACATGACTCACGATTGGTAGAAGGTTTCCAAGGTGAGACTGGAAAATGTAGCAGTGGGATTACCATAGAAGAGGCCTCTCAGCATCATCTGAGCATTGCTGATCTAAAAGCTCCTCTGCTGTCATTTTCATTTGCCATTTTGGGATCTCATGGGCTGAAAAAAAAATAGAAATGACTCCACACACAACAGAAGAGCTTTATTAATTAAATCCATCTGCCATATGTGATAAGCCTAGACTGTGATTGGGACAAAAGGTCCAGCCCTGCAAACCTCACCATTTCTATCCCATCTGCTTTACAAGCATTTGCAAGTGCAGGTCCAGAAGCTGCCAGGAGGCGCTGCGTTCGGAATCGTCCGCAGAGGTGGCTTTTACCTCACGCATTTCCAAAGAGGGCTGGCACAGCTCCTGCCTATTTTAAAATGTTTGCTTCTGGAATTCGCAATGCTTGTACCAGTTAAATACTAAATTATCATAAATGTAATTTACATGTTTCCCAAATAAGGGAATGCAAGCGGAGAAGAGCTTTTCTGAATGCTCATATTTCCAAATTAAAGGAATGTAAATGAGCCTGCTGTTCAATTCAGTGTGTAATGTGTTATTTCACGGTTGTCTCCTTGATATTACAGTCCCCCTTTTCATTAGGCAATGTCATATCCCACCCAAATCACCATGAGATAAAGATGTTCCCCTTTAATGTAATAAAGGACAGTGACAATATTCCAACAGAGAAAAGACCATGCATTCTGATTTGTACAAATGCACCATCTCCCACTGGAAATGCTCCACCTTGTCCCCTCCACCACAATGTGCAGTGTTGTGCAGCACCTTTCAACAAAAAGCCCTTTGTGGTGAGGCTCCCACTGACTCTTCATCCTTCCCTCAGCACCTCACACCTTTCTGCTTCAGCTGCTTCAGAGCTTCAGACGGACTGGTCTGGCTCCTGACAGCACAGGTGTGACGTGGTGCTCAGGAGGTACGACTGCTTCTTGCCAGAGGATTTCTGCTCTGCATGTTTTTCTCCTGTGCTTATAGCCAAGCAGAGGGAAATTATAGGGTGGCTCAACATTCATTCATTCATTAAGTGCTGGTGACAGTTGCTCCCTCCCGCTCCCGTTATCTTTAAAGGAAGAGCTGGCACTCGGTGTAGCGTGGTTAAAGGGACAGTGGGAGGAGATAGATTTGTTAGACTTTAAAGGAATGATTTGTTAGACTTTAAGTCAATCATAGCTTAGTCTGGACAACCATAAAACATCTTTACTTTTACCAATAGGTGAAATTTATAGCGTTACTTACTGGAAAGTGAAATGCTCCAACAGGGTGAGGGGAAATTCTGAGAGTTTCTTATTCAAGGGGGAATATGGTGCTCCTTGCTCTTCTCTGCCCAGATATACTTCCAGCAGCCAGCCAAGTGGGTCTGTTTTGGTGACAGCCCTTTGGTGGTGTAGGGAAGCAGAGAGCACATTCCCAAGTCACAGTGGTTTAGGGATAGGGACATCTTACCCCTTGCTGTTCAGGCAGGGCTTCTTCTGCCCCTGCCATAGTCTCGAGTTTTTCCTGGGTGGCTGAGGAGAGCCCAGCCAGCTTCTCTGGCCAATTCCTCAGCTCTCTAAGCTGCTGGATCTCTTGGGGTGCACACAGCACCAGGGCATTGCAGCTGCCCCCTGCCTACCACCAGTATGCCAGGGTCACCTCTCTGCTTGGGCATGAGTAAAAGTGGAAGAGCCTCAGACAGAGATTTCTCCTGCTGGATCCACCATCCTCCTCTCAGCTGGGCAAGGATGCACATGTCCTCCTGTGCATCCTGGCTCCTTGTGCCCTCTGGAGTGCTGCCAGAGGACATGTTTTGGGAAGAAGGGTGAATTCCTCACCAAAGAGTACAAACAACATCCAAGGCATGAAAGCTTAGGGACATCCCACATTATTTCCTTCAGCTCCTGACACCATAGGTAAGCTGTAAAAGCCATTTTCTTGGAAGAAGATAGGTGGCCCACTAGAGTCTTCCAGCTGGACAATAGCCTAAGACAATTGCTGTCTCCAGGAGCTTTTAAACTGAGCTGGTGTAGGAGTGGATTGGCACGGGGGAGCTGACCCTCTCCCAGGTCTCAGCAGAAGCAGGCTCAGGACAAAGTGATCCCACTACACTGGATCCCTTTCACATTAGAGTATTTGCTTTGCCTACACAACTATTACTTTATCTAAACACAACTCCTGCATGTGATTTGGCCACAGCCTACAGAGACACAAAATTGCTCCACACAATGCTAACCAAATTCTGACTGGGTTACCCTGGCTGGTAATTGCAGCCCCCTGACCCTTAAATTCATGTAGTCATCCAGATTCACAGCACTGGATCTGAAAACACTCACTGCTGTAAATACTGCAATTGTTCTCCACAGCCAAGTCTAAGGCAAAGTGCTGAATGTGCAAAATACTGGAAGCTTATGTCTTACACCCAGCTCTGCCACAGATATCTTGTCTTTCCTCTCTGAGAAGATGACGCTATGATGCTGACTTGGAGGTTGGCATGTTGATAAAATAATTTTTTCTGTCTGTAAAACTGTGATATGAGAAAACAAGGCTTCCCTAGGAATATATCTGTCATAAGAATTTCTGTGCGGCAGGCAAGTGTCTCTGGTCCAGTGGGAGATGTCCCATATCATTAGAAAGAGTGCTCTGCCTCAGCTGGGGAGGGGTGAATGGAAAACAGCATCTTAGTGCTCCATGTAAGGCAGCAGGGAGCTGGTATGAGTTTTAATTCACAAAGGAGAAATAGGTGAAGAGCCCCTGCCCTTCACCATGTCACTGGAACAGAAGAAGGGGCAGCATATCCTCTAACAGAAGACGCCAGACTCAAACCAAACCTGCAGGAACCAAGAGAGGGATTCGGAAGTCTGGCTGTTTCCATCTTCCAGCCAACTGCTCAGCCACAAACTCATCTCATGGCTCGTCCCTGTCAGTGTGAACATCTCCCACCACAGGAGCAAAATGACTGCAAGCAACACAGTAGTAAGGGCACATTTAAATGCAAGGCCTCCTCTGGGCTTGAAGGCAAATCCCCCTCAGCTTGGATATGCTTAACATATGGTATACTAAGAGTCTCCTGGTTTTTATTAGAACTTTTGGAAGGCTGGAAATTTGCTTCTACTTCAGTATGGAAAAACCCTGAATTGTTTTTAAGAACCCATATCTGGTTAGCCCTTATTCTGATCAGCATGAAATGCCTTCAGAGTTATCGATTAAGAACACTCTATAAGAGGTATTATTTCTCAAGTGTCCTGGAAGACCTAAGATTTACTCCATGAGCTTTAAAATTGTCATGAGTTTGCAAATTTAAAACACCAAATATTTCAGACAGAACAAAGGCTGTGCTCTGCAGCAAGTACTAATTTCACAGGAAGTTTTAACTTCCGAGTTTTATCCATATTTTAGCGTAAGTCTCATTTGCAGTTATTTCATGCAGTTTTCTGCTTGAAAAAACAGTCTTAGCTTTAGGAGATAGTATATCTTGTCAGCCTTCATAATGCAAAAACTGTTAAAGCTATTACTTGGCTTAAATGCCTTGGAAGAGACTTTCTCCCCAAAGAAGTTTTGCAAAAACTTAAAAGAAAAATGGAAACTGAAGTTCGGAATGGAAATAACTTTGCAGCCTGAATTGCAGTGGAGGTGAACAGTATGGGCTAGAACATAAAATCCTTATTTCTGCTATTGCAATGCTGGAAGGCAGACGTTATTCACCAGAAAAGACGAAGATCATAAGCTCCAGCCAGTCAAAAAATAAAAGGACTGGTTTCTCAAGGTGGTTTGCTTTCATAAACAGCATTGTAATGGCCAAGTTATTCTGTAGTGCTGGCTGACTGAGACTCTCAATTGCTGCATTCCCTACGGCAGCACAAACATCCCTGGACAATCAGGTTAAAGTGAGGAATTTTCAGTCTAACCTACGAGTCACCATCCAGCAGCAGCACGTCCCAACTGCAGCAGAGCCACCTTGAAAGTTGTCCTCCTACTCCTGTGAAGTGGCTGCAGGCCAAAAGGAATTAAATCTGCTGCCCCTCATTTTTCTAACAAAATGGAAATAAAGGTATCAAAACAGAAGAACATCCCAGGATGAATGCCTCCTGCTCTGAAAATAAACATCCCAGCTTCCCTTCTGTATTTACTGCATTTACCATTTATGCAGCAGCAGGAGACCATTATTGTGTGACAGTGTTCTGCTCTACTGACATTACCTCTTAATTATATCTTCATTAAAACCAAATTAGAAAGCGGTCAGGAAAGTTAAGCCAACTGAATTGCTCATTTGGCTGAACACCCTGACACTTTTTCTAGAAAAGTGATGCTGGTTCATGCAACAAAATGTTTAATGATCTGCCTCGGTGCTAAGGGAAGTGTTGATTTTCACTTTAAATGGTGAACTTGCTGCTCAGTCACACTGCACTCATTCTGAATGGACGCTGCTCAGCTAAATGCTGGCATGGCAGCACAGCTCCTTTAGCCCTTACCTGCAAGGTGATGACGCTAGACTGGGTTTGCTGCTGCTGTCTCTGGACACCGTTTTGTCATTAAAGCTGCAGGCGGAAATAATCCGTGCCCCGACGAGTACAGAGAGAACCAGGGAATTGCATTGCCCAACAGCAGAGTTGGCAGCTCCCCTCCACCCTTCCCTGCTGTGGGGAGGGCGGTGGGGCAGAGCTGGGCTCAGGCTGGCGGCTGCTGGGCCCTGTCCCGCTCCCGCAGCACAGGGCCAGCGCCGGGCACCTCCGACAGGCCCAGCCTGGGCCTGCACACGCCTTGCCTGCACGCCGGGGCAGGCCAGGGACAGCGTGGCTCCTGTGGCAAGCTTTCAGCCTGCTCTCCCTCCTCCCTCCGTGCAGACACCCTGGCTGTGCTTCGTGTACTCTGGGAGCCGGGAGAGAGAGACCCATGCTTCATGTCTGTGTCCTGCCAAATTAGTGCCACAAACGTCAGAGCGGAGCTCAGACATCCAACCCTTCAGTTTTACAGTTCCCAAGCCTTTCTCATATCCCGAGGCTGCAGCACCTCCTAACAAAAAGTTCCTCTATAGCCTACAGCAGTCAGGTTCTTTGGGAATGAGTTGTAGCATCCATACCCATGAGCTCAGGCTTTACCTGTCGAGTATTATCCACAAGCCATCTGACAAATATCATCAGCCAGGTGAACCGGGGAGACAGAGACAACCTCCATGAAACTACAGACACAGAAAAGGTGCCACAATTGCCAGTGCTCAGCAGACACACTCCCTATTACCCAGCGTTTCTGTCATCAGAGCAGGCTGATTTCTAGGGAGCAATCAATTAATATCTAGGCATAATACAGGAGGAAATACTTAGATGGGAATGTCTAAGTAAGATTTTTGAGGAGCGATTCTACATAAATTGATGTAGGAAAGAAAAAAATGTTTCATTTTGAGCAGATAATAGAAATCAGACTCCTTATGGCACGGGTCTTCAAGCAGAGAGGGTTTGTAGAATCTCAAGTGAAGAAAGCCAGAGGCGAAGTTCACCTGCAAACCTGGACAGATCAATCTCATTCATGCTTAACAGCTTTGACAGCCAGAAGGACATGGGGACCTGGGAATACTGGAATCATGGATCCCTTGGTTCCAGTGATCTGGTACGCACTTGCAGCTGCAGTTTAAATATGGGAAAAGATATATTTTTGGTCTGAAAATTGAGAGCCAAAGAAGGAAGGATGTGTTAAACATGTCTGGCTTCTTCTTGTTCAGAGTTTAGAGGAAGGAAATTTTTTATGGTATTACATGGATGCTACAGGGCAGAGCAGGAAGAATAAAGAAACCTTGCCCTTTCAGAAACAAGTTACCAGTTCTCCATTATGCCTTTGAAAAGCAATTTAATATGAAGTTTCCAAAAAGAATCAATGCTGGCACAAATGTTGGGAGTAAGTGAGTGTGCCCCATATATTATGATGTCTGACATAAAAGAGAAACCCCTGCAGTTTGGAGCCCTCAGTCCAATCTCTCTTATTCCTCCACCTCTCAGATGTATAGATGCAAGGAAATGACTCCACCTGTCACTAAGTGTAATAGGGGAGTCATCCTTAAAAGATGATGATCTGCCCAGGATGGATGGATTGTGCTGCATCAGGGGTGGGGAAAATAATCAGAAGAAAAATGAGCACGAAGAGGAGGATACATACCTTTTAATCAAGGAGTTATAATGAATCTCTTCGGTTTGGGTACTCTAAAAGAGAGGAGAAACTGTCTGTGTTCAGCCAGACTATTGTTTTCCTAAGGGCTGTACCTTCTATTCAGTAGCTGCATTTTATAGATAATTTGCGATGCTTCATTTTCAGTACAAAACAAATGTGAATGAGAAGGAAAAAAGGCAGAGACAGAGAGCAAGAACATGTAGCAGAAAAAAATTGATGCAACCATTTCCAGTTCTAAAGCAAAGCAAGTAACATAAGGATGTGGCTGGTTTAGGGATCACTGTAATCAGCACGATTGACTGCTTACAGATGACTAATTTTCAGTTCTAGGGAGGTAAATTGAGGCTTACATAGTTCAGCTTTGTCCTAGCACTACAGGTAATGTAAGACAAATGAGCTGTGAACTCCTAATACCAAAGAAAATTGTGTATTATAAGAGCACAGAATGCAGACTTGGGGTGATGTTACAGAAATACAGATTTGCAATCAGATGAAGTTTTAAACAAACCTGGAGGTGAGTTTTCTTTCATTTTAGCTTTTATTCAGATTCATTCAGGCCCATCTGTATTTTAATCAAAAGTCATCATAACACTTTCATGGGTAAATGGAAAATGGATCTTGATAGATGGTCATTATACCTCATTTTGTTAACAGTTGAATAACCAACAAGAAGAATTAATACAGCAAGAACTGAGGTTCTGAGAAAGAGGAATGAAGACAAGATAAAATATTATTAAATTAAATGAACTAAAGCTGTGCTGGACATCCTAATCATAACATAAAGAGGAGCGATGAAACAGGGGACACGAGAATCGACAGATGTAGATAAATAGCACAGTGGAGGAAGAGAGCATGGGAAGAGCTGAAGTTATTGTAGAAGAAGAGAGGTAAGACAGCACACAAAGACAAGGTGCCTGGACAGAATATATTTCTCCTGTTCAAGAATGAGGATGCAGGGAGTAGAGAGACCTAGGGCTGGGTACAAGCTTGGGGAGTGTGACCCCAGGAGCACTCAGAATGAGGCAGGTTGGAAGTAGGATCATGCAGTGGCAGAAGCTTGCAGAGCCCTCTGACTAAAATAGAACATTTCTCCTGTTTTGCTCCTATTCCACACTGACATTATAACCCCCTGACTAGGAGGGGTCACCACATACATCCTTGTGAAAGGAGCACGTTCAGTTCTGTGCTGGATAGAAGCACTTCACAGGAAAATATACCAATGTATTTTTTTTACACTTTTCCTGGGAAAAAAACCCAGCATGAGTGCCAAACACAACTTTGCTAAAATGCAACAGGAGCATGTCCTAGAGAAACCTGAGCCTCCCTGCTGCTGGGCACTAACAGCCCCAGTAAAGCTGCATCTATACTGGTTGTCCAGGTGGCCCTTGCACCTGGTTGTGTCAAGGGAAGTCACCAATGAGTGCTGTTATTTACAGTCCCTGTTCCTCTAGGCAAAGTCTAGTCTTAACCAAAGGCACTTTTTATCAAAGCTGAGATTACAAGGAAAGGGCACCCCCTACTCCAGCCCCTCCCAGGTCCTCTCTGGCACAGGTCCTTGGCAGTGTGCTTTTGGCTAGGCTTTGCCACTGCTGAGCTGCAAAGGCACAAACACCACGGTGGTTTTGACCGCTAAAACTCCCTTCCAAACAGGGAAGGCATTGTGTGCTGTAACAATCACTGGGTGTTAGATCCCCACAACGGAGCGAGAGACAGCCTGAAAAGGAGCACCGAAACAGGGTGGAGCAGGACTGGTGCACAGAGGTCAGGAGTGGGGGACAGGGCTGGGACAGAATCAAACAGACTAGCATGCCTTTGTCATACAGCTGTTGTCTTTATCATGACATGCTCAGGGAAAATGGGCAAGAAGTTACAGAGGAAAACAAGTTGAATGAGTGACCTGAACGAGTCCATGCTGAACTTCCAGTTTTATGAGGAGCTCGTCAGGAGTACAGACAAAATCCATAGAAGAGAAAGGATGCAGAGAAGCAGAAAAGCAGTAAAAACAACACATAACAGTTACAGGTGAGACAAACTGAAACAATGAAGTGAAAAAGAAAAATAGAACCAGGTGATGTTTAATCATCTACTCTACTTTCCAAGTTGAAAGAGCAATGGAGTCTATATGCAGCTGGTAAGACAAGCTTGAATTTTTAGCACATATCATGGTATGGCTCAACAAAGTGTGGGTTTTTTTCCCTCTAGTGTCTTTCTTCAAATCTAAGCATGTTACTAAGTCATAGCCCCCGGGAAAAATAATTAAGTTGCACATGACTAAATTTTAGCTGTTGTTATGACTGAAGTTGCTAAAGTCAAAGGAGCTTTTCCTGCAAAACATCCAATTCTTCATGAAGAGCAGCTTCCTTCCTACACTGGTTCTCTTCTATTTTCACATGACGTGTTTGAAATATCACAATTTTAAATCAAAACCATTAGTATGTTAGTACCTTCACAGTGACAAATGTCTACTTTATCCTCTTTCTTGAGGAAGGCATTGCAGACACAAATTTTTCATGTCAAAGCTAATACAGTCACCCATGGAATACATTAGACTGTTGACAAAACAAACTAGATTAAAGGAAAAGTATTTTTAGCTTTTTTAAAAACAAGGTTATCTTGAAAAGCATGGTGAAGCTGAATGGTGGAGTGATGGGACACCGTCACAAGCAATTCTCCACACAGTGGGTGAACTGAGATAACCACAGTTGCCATTTATTTTTCTTATCTACACTGGGCATTTCACCTTTAAAAACTTCATGTGGAGAGCAGTGCATTCCTCACTCTAGATGGATGGCACATATCACAGCCACATCAGTGTGCCCATAGCACCTCTGCTGCTTTCAAGTCTCAGCTGAGTGGCCTGGAGACTTTGGGCAGCTGACGGCTGGGGGCAGAAAAGGGACTCTCCTTGGTATTGAACTTGTTTCAAGTGTGTGAAAAGGTCCAGTTTCACTGGGAAAGGAAACCCAGGATTTAGGGCAGGTCCACAAAGAAACTCTCTATGCCTTGCTCCATATCAGCTTTGTTTAACTCATGTGAGCAGAGTGAAGTCAACAGCAGAGCAGATCCTATGGTGACATTTTATGTGTAAGGGACAAGCAGTCCTTAATCCTTGGTTTATGATTGGAAGAGCAACCCAAGAAACAAAATCCCACAGCCTGTTCACAAATGGGAGCAGCACAAACTTCTGCTTCTTAGACATACATTATACAAAGATAGCATACCTAAAATTTGGGTAAAATTAGTACTTTTTCCTCATTATCCAACATAGATAAATTAATTAGCTACAATAATAAACTATAATTTGCCTATATGTCACTTCTAGGCCTTCCACGTCATCCTGTATTTCCAAACCACATTTCCTATGACATTCCCATCCAATGCCTCCCATTTTTCAAGTCCAGTGCACCCAGACCTCATGCCTTGACCTTTCACCACATCATGAAAATGCAAGTCCTAATGGGTTCCTCTGGGTTTATTGATAAAAGAACCTCTGCATTTGCTGGAGAAAGGACACAAAACCCCAAACAGTGGCTGC